AAGGTAGGACTGAGTTGTTACATCTCGTGATACAGTGTCAATGGATACTGAGTTATTTCTTCTGGGTAAGCAAAGGTTGTTTCTTGAGATGGAATCTACCCCTGGTGAGGATGTTGTGAAGGTTGTTGAAATGACAACCAAGCGATATTCCATAACTTGGTTGACAAAGCAGTGTCAGGGTTTAAGAGTGACTTCAATTTTAAGTTAAGTTCTGTGGGTAAAATGCTGTCAAACAGCATCACATGCTACAGAGAAATCCTTTGTGAAAGAAAGAGTCACTCAGTGTGGCACACTTCATTGTCTTGATTTAAGAAATTGCTACAGCCACCCCAGCCTTCAGCAGCCACCACCCTGATCAGTCAGCAGCCAGCAACATCGAGGCAACACCGTCCCCCAGCAAAAAATTATGACATGCTGAAAACTCAGATGATGGTTAGCATTTTTTTAGCAATGAAGTATTTTTTAATTGAGGTATGGGTACTGGTTTTTTTTTTTAGACATAATGCTACTGCACGTTTAATAGACTACAGTAGAGTGTAAACATAACTTTTATCTACACTGAGAAACCAAAAAATTCATTTCACTTTATTGTGATATTTGCTTTTACTGCAGAGGCCTAGAATGAACCCACAACATCTCCAAGGTATGCGTTGGTATGTATTTTAAAAGGCTGCCTTCAAAACTTGTTCGTTATGCTTCAGAAGATTGGAGACTGACGAGAATTAGGCTTGAGATGGATTAATGGTTGTGCATTGAGCATTGACCCCCCTATACAGAATTTTATTGTTGTTAACAACCATTTGATCAATAAATATGAGAGATGCCCTCTCAAAAAAAAAAAGTCACNTGGGTTTGCGGTGGGGAGGGTTAGTTCAGGGACAAGGCCTCGGGGCTCCCACGGTTCTTGACCTTGAGGAAAGAGGCTACTGTGTTTATTCTGGAGAGAAAGCAGATCAGGCTGGACCTCAAGGAGGCAGAAGGCAGGTGTCCAGGGCTGATTTTCTTGTTTGGCAGAGTAACTTCACTCGTTGGGGTTCTTGAGGGAACAGGAACCTGGACAATGGGGCTTGGAGGGTGGAACTTGCTATATTGGGGGTTAGAGCTGAGCAGTGGAAGCAGAGCTAAGCACAGGGTGAGTTCTGAGCTGCACATGTTGCTGGCTTGTCTTTGTTACTTTGTTTCTCGCAGCAACTCATTCTGTGCTGCTGCTTTTCCATTTTTACCCACTTAACTCTCCCCTGGTCCCTAAGACCTCCTCCTCCTTTCTACCCAGAAATCTGTCCCCTCCTCTTATCATCCATCTCCCAAGCACCACCCACCCTGCCCCTTTTGTCTGTTTAACTGTCTATAAAGAGGAGTAAAATGTGTGCATGTGTTTAGATTTACATTTGAAGTTACTAAAGTTACTGCATAGAGCTTTTTGTTCCCTTTCCTTATCTGGAAAGCAGCTGAATTTGGCATTTTATGTTTTCTTCTTGTATCCCCAGTCTGAGTTATGTTCCTTATGGGTATGAGTGATACTTTATGAATTTTAATTTTATTTTTCCCTGGAAACTGGAGACCTCAGATGTACCCCCTGTGGCCTCTTTTGTCTTGCATCTAACCCTTGGTAAGCTGGGAGCCCCATGGACTGGGAATGCTGATCAGGAATGCTTGTGGGTGACCTGCACTGTTCAGATCTCCACTGACCACTTTTCTGAATGTGTCTGGAACTGTTTGAGTGAAATGCAGCAAGACAGAGTCAGGAGAGAGCTTCTGTATGGGTAGAAATGGTTGAATGGAAAATTTTTTTTTTCCCAGTAATTGTTTTGACATGAGCAGTGATTAGCCAACAGCTGACAGCCCAGAACTGAAGTGAGGACAAGAGGATGGATTAGGGGCAAAATGCCCTTGCATTAGGCAGTTTCTGGCTGCTGTTAGCCTGTCAGGCTGGGAGCCTGGGGAATGCTGGGAGCAGAATATAGTGGTTTACCAATGGTGCTGTGAAGGGAGTAAGTAGGGGTCAGTAGGGCAGCCTCAGCTCTTCGGGAGCTGAGGAAACCTTGGTTTACAGAGACCCAACGAAATCAAGGGTACTGCCTGATTCCAAACTAAGGCCTACTCAGGTAAGAACTTACACATTTCGTTTTTGTAGCCAAACTGATCTGTGATTCTGTTTGTTGTTCTTTTTGGTAGATTTTAGGGTCATGATAAGGTTGGATTTGCTTAATAAACTGAGAAATTGACCACATATTTCTAACTAAACTCTGGTATTTGTGTCTAGATATTTCTTTGTTGAGAGTTTGAGCAAATCTGCCTGTAAAACCATCTGTGCCGAGTGCCTTTTGAAGGGAGGTCATTTTCAGAAGTTTTACTTATTTTGATGTTTCTAGCATCCTTTGAGAAACCATTTTGGGTAATTTGAATCTTATGGAAGGTTTTATATTTATTAGCATAGAATTATAAATCATATGTTCTTGCATTTAATAGAAATCTCTAGAATGTCCTTATGTTTTCTTCCTAATTCCAAATTCTGAGCATTTGTGTTCTCTCTCACTTCCAAATTAGGTGGCTGACCTGCCTTTTCTATTATGATCTGCCTCCCCCCACCATACACAAAGAGAACCAGCTTGAATTGCTGACATCATCTTGTTTCCTAACTCATTAATTTCTACTGCCATATTTATATCCCTTTCTCATGTTTTTTTAAGTTTATTTTATTGACTTTTAAATGTTTTTCTAAATTCTCAAGTTGGATGTTTACTCTATTTATTTTTATTCCCTGGACTTTGGTAATGAAATAATTAAGGCTATGGATGTTCCTCCAAGTATAATTCAGACTTTATTCCATTTGTTTTGATATGTTCTTCCTTATTATTTTCCAAATACTGTGTAATTACAGTTTTAAATTCCTCTTTGACCTAAGATTAAAAGGGCATTTTCTTAGATTTCCTAATGTTTGTGAGCTGGAGGGATGGGGATGCTATATATTTGTTCTTTCATTATTAATGCCGACTTCTGTTGCTTCCTAGTCAGAGAATGTCGCCTGTGTTATTTATGTCTTTGCAATTTATTGACACTTTATTTGTGGCTTAAATGTGCCCACTTTTTGTTTGTTTGATGTTCTGTGACTTCTTGGCAAAAGATGTTATCTCTGAGTATGATGTTTAATAAGCCTTTTAAATTAAATTACTTAGATAGTCTACATCCTCACTTTTGGCCACTGATCAGTCATAGACTGAAAACAGTGTACTAAGATTTTCTACTGTTGCCTTCAGATTCTCTGGCATTTGTGTTTTATTCATTTCACTGCTATGCTACTTGATAAATCAAAGTTCTCAAACATCATGCCTTCATTTGGGTTGTATTCATCATTAGTCTAATGCCCTTCCTGGCATAGCTTATACCTGTATGAGTAGATTCTCCTCAGTCCTCTCAGCACTGTCTGATGCTATCAGAACCCTGCTCCCCATCCACCTTAAGCTGGAGGATGCATGGAGAGTACCAGAATTTGACCAGCTGCCTGAGGGGCATACTGTAGACCAGGACTGTGGCTGGCCAAGCAGGGTTAATGTGTTGTTTCTTGTTGCTTCCCTGAGCCACAGACTGGGGCCACCTCGGTGCCCAGTTTCCTGTTGTCTTCCAATGTGCCCACCCTTCTTTCAGAGTGTCAGGCCAGCCCAGCTGCCCACAGGCATCTGCTGAGTGTGGCTCTGCTCACAGGTGGCCCTGGATTTTTCCCTGCAAGAGGTAGAAAATGGGGGCATCCCCCAGCATGAAAATGGTTCCACGTTGGGTGGCCTTCCTCACGCCATTGCTTGCCTCCAGCCCTTGCCCCATAAATACATAGGTGCCAGTGACATACAGCCACCCTCCTTGCTTCCTGCCACACCACAGAGCTTTCTCAACAAGGTCTGTGTGTTGGACATCAGTTTATATGTCTCTAGTCTGACCTGCACAGTATATGTGTTATGGTTGTTCCTCTAAACCTGGCACCCGAGGAAGGCTTGCTTTCCTGGTCTTCAGAGATAGGCAGGTTCAGGGTTCAAGGTGACTAGATTCAGGAACAGAAGCAGTGACCTTCTCTCTCTCCATCCCTTCCCCCTTTTTTCATCAAGTACTTTATAACTTAGAGATTCTTTTGCAAGTATCTCTTGACTTTCATACCAACAGAGTAGGTTTGGAGACAGGGTAGAGTTATCCCCATTTCATAGAACCAGCAGCTGAGGCTCCCTGATGAGGAACTGCTCCCTGTGCTCACATACCTTTCCCTGAGAGCAGCATCACCTCTGGAACTGAGGTTGCACGGGCCCCAGTGTGTAATTGTGATGTCAGGAGCACGGAGGGGTGTTGGGTGCTTTAAGTCATCAGCATTGATGGAAACGTGTATGCCTCAGAAATTGGCAAGTGCTGCAGACCAGGGCTCTGCCTTCCCCCCTTGGAGAGCACGTTTGTCAGCACACCTTAGGAACAGTGGTGAGTGTCACAGAGGTAGAATTTTAGAGTTTTGATTTTTTTTTTAACTTAGGTAAAATGTGACTCAAGAGGGGTGTCATATGATCCCCTGGCTATTAACTGGCAAAGCCAAATTTCATGGAAACTACTAAATCCCGTCCTTGTTCCCTTATACCCACATTATACCTCCCTGAGGGCTGGGTGAGCGAAGTCCCCCAGCGGGAATTGCAGGAAGGTTGGGGAGGGGCCGCCTGCTCTGCAGAGAGAGTGCGACCCTTCACCAGTGACTACAACTGCTGCATTTTCTGATAGCAGTTGGACTATAATGACCTCACCTCCTCTTAATCATATTCCCCTTCCTCTCTGGTTCAGAAAGAAACTCGGTTCCCCCAAGAGTTCAGTAATTGGGTGCCAGGGATTAGAGAGATGCTTTCAACCTATGTCCAGCTCTGCCAACATGGGTAAGACCTCTCAGAACGAGGTGGGAGAAGGGGCTGTCATTGCAGGCAGCCAGAGGTGCCCGTCTGTGGCCAGCATAGTCTGAGCAGCGTTTTCTTTCCCTGCAGTGAATGGATACCACACGTCAGGGACCCCGGCACACCCTCCCGAGACAGCCCACATGAGTGTCCGAAAATCCACTGGCGATTCCCAGGTAAGGGGTCCTTTACGGGAGGTGGGGTAGCCCTTTATGCAGGTCCAGGGAGCTGCCTTAAGGTGGGCATGTCCAGGTGGCTGCTGCCCAGTTCTGCCCCAAGTGAAGAGTGGGTGGTGTACCTGGGTCGTTCAGTGCCCCATGACAGGGGGAGGGTGGGTAAGTATTGTTTATTGGTTTTCTCTCAAGGCTGAGGATGGTTTGAAGAGTGTGATGGTGAGGGGATTGTTACAGTTGTTGTGGGGTGGGCTCCATCCTGCGTCTGGATTCCTGATGCAGTCTAGACTTCCTGTCACTTTAAGAATAAGGATGGGACCAGGCCATTTCCCTTTCTACACACCCTCTCTGCACTCTTGGGCTTCACGCAGGATAGAATTTTACAAAATGTTTGATCACATTTAATAATCAAGCACAAGAGACAGCTGTGGGATGGAAGGACATGGGAGGATGTTCTCAGCTTCCCAGACTATTTGCTCATTCATCATCTCAGTTGACACTCGTGCAAGCGCAGGTGGTAGGGTCAGTACTGTGCCTGTGTTACAGATGGGCCAGAGTCTCAGACCAGTTAAGTGACTTATGCAGGTTGTCATGGTTACTAAGTAGTTGATGCCAAGCCCAGTGGGTTTTCCAGTTGCTTTAAACTGCATCTAAGAAACTGAGGACTGGCCCTATTTAGCCTGCACTAAATTATATAGGAAGATGCTCTTAAGCCTGAAAATCCACCAGTCTCCTCCAGGAATTAAGTGCCAGGCCCCACAGGCCATGGTGATGACAACAGTGTTGATGCTGTTGTGGATGTCGGGAGAAGACCTGTGGTCTGTTACTATGGTTGCCTAAAATGTGACCTTGAGCTTTTAATACAGTCAAAGTATTCATTTTTGGAAACTAATTAAATTATCTTAGGAGGTTGCAGTTCAGTTCAGCTAAAAGGCTGGGAAAGAATTTGGACATGCATGTGGGCCAAGGCTTCTTACATTTTGGTGGGCTTCAGAATCACCTGGGCCTCCTGCTGGCATGCACCTTCTGATTCAGGAGGGCCAGGAAGGAGTCTGAGGTTCCGTGTTTCCAACCAGCACCCAGGGACTGCTGGTGGGGGCTGCCCGCCCCTTGGATGGCAAGGATCTAGGCTCAGCATGTGTGCGTGCCTCCCACCCTCTAGTCACGGCACACATCAGAGTGCTGGCATCATGAGCTTCCTACTGAGCCCCCAACTAGCCTTCTTGACCCAGCCTCAGGCAGTCTCTTTGAAATGAGGCTTATTTGCCAGCTGACAGCAGGGTTTTCTGAAGACATGAGCCTACATTCTGCTGTGGTTATAACGTGATTGAAAAAGCTGGTGCGACCCTGGGTATCATCAAGAATATTGGAAACAATCCCCCGCCACCAATCATTCTTCCTTCCCTGATGGAATATGTCTCCTCCAACCCTAAAATATTATAAAGGTGTTAGTCAACCATATTTTAAAACATGTATACTGATAGAACCTTCCTAGAAGCTGATTGGACAGGGTGTGCTATAAGCCTTTGAGCCGGGAATTTCCTTCCCAGCATCTGTTCTTGGAATACATTCAGGGATTCTGGTGAATGTGTGAGGCTGTCCACTCAAGCACCACTTACGGCGCTGCAGCATTGGACCCAACCTAATTGTCCAGCAGCAGGGCATGGGTAAGCTGGATGTTTGGCACTGAATGTCCATCCAACCAGTGATACCATGCAGCCATTAAAAAGCCTGGTTCTGAAGAAAATTTAATGATTTAGGAAAATGCTGAGAAAATGATATTGAGTGGGAAAAGCAGAACATATACAGTCTTACTGGGGAGGAGGAAATCTGTACTTCATGGAAACAAATGACTGGAAGAAAAATAAACCAGAACATTGATGGTGATACTGTTTACACCTAAGACTGTGATTCTCAATCAGGGGACATTGGCCTTCTTTGGAGACATGCTGGCAGTCGAGCTGGGGAGGGGTAACTGCTGGCATCTAGTGAGTAATGTCTGGGATATCATTAACCATTCCACCACGCACAGGGACAGCAACCATCAATAAAGATTTAATCCAGTTCAAAAATACGAACATAGCTGAAGTAGAGAAACCTTAGTCTAAGATAATTTTTATTTTCTTTATACTTTTGATTATATTTTCAAATTTCCTAAAATGGACCCATCTTGCTTTTATACAAAGCAGTATAATGAGCATTATTTTTAAAAGGAATTAGAAGTAAGATACTGGTACTGGGGATGCAGGGAAGACCAGTTCTGGAGACCCAAGTCTGGTGGGCAGGCATCACCTGCTTACGGGACAGGTGGAGTTGAGGGTGTCTGGTTGGCATGATAACGTTGAATGTTGAAGTGTCATCAGAGTAAGAAAAATAGAAAATGCAGCACCTGGAGAGAGCAAATATGCATTCGTTCAACAGTTCCCAGAGCCATAAGGTAGAATGTCATTCTTTTCAGCTGCGGAAGGATTTGGGGTGCTGTGGACCTGGCTGTCCACAGAGGTGCTGGAGGCCAGTGAAGAAGTAGGATACAGTGTGGTATTGACAGAGAGTGCTACCCACAAGTGATCTCCAAAGTGCATAAGGTGCTATTCAGCATGCATAGCCTTTCCTCGCTGCTATCCCAGGCTGTCAATCATGATCAGTAACAATTACAACTGAATAGTACTTGAAGAATGAATGAATGAGTGAATGAACACAAGGCCAATTGAAGTGCAGGGTCAGGGTTGGGTCAAGAGGCTTGCTTAAGGTTTGCTCAAAGCCCTGTGCATTCTTTTCCTGTTGGCTGCCCTTCCTTGAGCAAGCTAATCAGGAAGATGAGAGTGTTGGGGTGGTGGAGGTGGGGAGGGCATACCTATTCTTCTTGGAAACCAGGAGTGTGTCCCCAGCGTGCCCTGTCCTGGGCAGGGTGATGGCTGGGCTGGGTGTTGAGCAGCCCCTGGGGTGCCTGCCCTCCCTTTCCCCAGCCCTGGGACACCTGTACGGCTGGGGGCACAGGCGGTGGTGATCTGGCGCCACCCAGTGGAAGTTTTCAAGTCTGTACCCTGGGGCGGGCTGCCTGGGTACTGGGTAAGTGGGGGTCACCTGATTGAGGGCACAGTGGGGATCAAGGCTGGTAGTCCTGCTGGCCTTTGCAGACGCATGTCCTAGCCTGTCCCCACCTGCTTGCTCGGGGCTGTGTTGGGAGCCTTTTGATCCCTACACAGGTGCAGGGAGGGCAAGGGACCTGCCCGCCATACCCAGGCCCTCTTGTGGCCCACCTTTCAGTTGCTCTGGCTTCCCATGAACTTCCCCAAGAAAGACAGGAAGGAGGAAAGAGAATGGGGCTAAGGGCTTGGAAATGTAAGAGACTCGTTGGAGAATGGAGTCTGAGGAAGAGGAAGAGGTGAAAGGCTGAGAGCTCATTTACTCAGTGCCCACCCCCCCATCCCCGTCCCACCCAATTCAGTCATACATGTCCTACTGACATCTAGTTCTTTGCCAGGCACTAAGTTACCGGCAGAAGAGCTCCTGCTTTGATGGATGTGTATATAGCTGGTGCTGGAGAAAGACATGAGCTAAACGATTATTGCATTTCAGCAGTGATAGGGCTAGAAGTGTGTGGCATGAGAACCTAGCTGGGTAATGGTGGGTGGGAATGGAAATGCTGGTGATGGCCTCCATAGGAAAAGATACTTAGGCTAAGACTGGAAAAATGAGCGAGGGTTTAGCTTGGTAAGGAGGTTGGGTGGGGCGAACAGTGTGCCAGGTAAGGGAACAGCACATGTGGACACCTGGAGGCCAGAAGGAGAGGAGAGCAGTGATTTCAAGGAACCCATAGAGGCCAAGTGGGGCTGTGATTTGCTAAATGAGCAGGTGTAGGGAGGACAGACGATGAGGCTGGAGGAGTTTGCCCAGGCCTGTTGTGAGGAGCTTGGGTTTTAATCTAACAGTACCTAGAGGCCATTGAGAGGTTTCACACTGGATCCCACCTGCTGAGGGGTGGCGGACCTAGACTGTTCACAGGGCAGTGAGGTGGTGGAGAAGACATGCAGGGTGGGGGCTGGCTGAACTGGCTGTGCATGACCCACCGCAGTCTGCCGAGCCCTGCCTTGTACGTCACCACTCTCAGGTGGTCCTCTCCTCTCAGTGACAGCGGAGTGGCCAGGCAAGGTCAGGAAACCAAATTGGGGAGGGTTGTAAAAAAAGGAAAGGCGAAAAATTTTATGGAATCATAGGCAAAAGAAATTTTTAAAAACCCCCACTTTTAATAGAAGGGATACTATAATGAAGTACCATGGACCAATAATCAACAATTACTTGGCAATTTTGTTGCATTTATATTCTCATTCCTTACCCCTGACAGTCTCCAAAACCCCCTGGGATTACTTTAAAGCAAATTCCTGACACGTTGTTTTAACTGTAAACAATTTCAGAATGTATCCCTGTAGGGGAAGACATAACCACAATACCATTAGTGCGTTTAAGAAAACATTATTTCAGTAATATCATCTAATATATGTAATCCATATTCAGACTCCCCAGTTGTCCTGAAAATGTCTTTTATGGCTTCTTTTCTCCCCAACCCAAGATCCATTCAAGTTTCATATATGGATGCATTAGTTGTCGAATCTCTTTAGTTTCTCTCCTTTGAAACATCTTTACTGAGATGTAACGGACACAGCGTACCACTTACCCATTTAAAATGTACAACACAGTGGCCACAAGGTGGGCAGCCATCACCACATTTTCCATCACCCCCAAAGAATCTCCATAAGCCTTGGGTAGCCCCTCATCTGCTGTCTGTCTCTGGATTTGCCTATTCTGGACATTCCATATCCATGGACGCATACAGTGTATGGTCTTTGGTGTCTGGCTTCTTTCGCTTGGAATGTTTCCAGGGCCATTATTATTGTGGCATCTATTAGCACTTCATTGCTTTTTTATGGCCAAATAATATTCCATCGTATAGACTTACCATTTCGTCTTATCACTTTAGTCTCCTTTGGTCTAGACTATATTCCCCACACATTTGTTCTTTTGCGTTTCCTTACAGTGGCTTTTGGTGGGTGTGGGGCAGGGGCAGATGGAGAGTCCAGGTCAGTTGTCTTAAACAATGACTGACAGTCCTGGTTTAATTGTTTTCTTATGCTTAGATTCAGCGCCAGCAGTTTGGGCAAGAGTACCAGTGGGGGATCTGTTGAGTACTTCTTACTGCAGCAGTCAGGAGACACACTCCCAGGTTGTCACCCTACACAGGATGCTGAGTTTGAGATCCCAGTTCATGTGACAGCCAAATTGCTCCTTTGTAGAGTCATACTTTCCCTTTTTAATTTGTCGGTTACCTGTGGGCTGATGGGGTGAGACCATGTGCATATGCTGTTCCCTAGTAATCTATTTACTTGGCACTCTGAGCATCCTGGATTGTGACCTGAATCTGTTTTGACTTTGGCGGTTGCAAATGTAATTTTCTAATTCTTTCTACATTTGCATTGGCATTCTTCCTGAAAGAAATGCTGTCCTCTCCCTCTCCCTGCTTTTTGGAGTCAATCACTTGTAGTCATTCATATCCATGCTCAAATTGCCCTACATGGGGCTTGTTGGGGCCCCTGTGTGCTGGTTTTTGGTTCTTTGGTTATGTTACGTCATTCTTTGAACACTTTCTTACCTCTTTGCACAATAAAGTGTCCCAGGCCTATGTGGCATTTGGAATTAGCCATTTCTCCAAGGAGCCTGGGTTCTTTTTACATAGGGAATGGTATTTAGAAACCAATTTCTAGCTAGGAGGTGTTCTCACTGTGATTGAGGTGTCCTTCTTTCTGGGCTCTTTCAGTGGAGTGCTACTGTGTGTGTGTGTATGATGTGCACACATGTGTATGGTGCATGCATATGACATTCATTTATGTAAATGATGTTGGCATGGTAATCAACAACAAACACAGCCCAGCAAACTGGAGACTGCCTGGAAGAGCCTGTGATCTCCCTGCCTGGCACTGGCTGAAACTGCACAGCTAGTAGAGCAGAGATGGGGAAGGTGCTGACCCCACACTGAGCACATCACCCCCAGTGCCAGCCACTCCTTGTGCTCCTATCCTGGCCCAAGTTAGACGAAGGAGGGTGACCTCTGTGTCCAGCTTCATTCCACAGAGTCTTGGACACAGTGGTGCCCAAATGAATGATCATGGATGATGGAGCTCTTTTTTGACCCCTGCAGAGACATCTGGGGAGCAGGAGCATGTCCCAGGTCTCTGAGTGGAGAGGTGGCAGAAGATAAAAGCATTATTCAGGCTTGAGTTCTGATTTCCTCCATTTACCTGCCTTGTGACTATAGACCAAGTTGGTCATTTCTGCAAGCCTCAGTTTCACCATCTGTAACGTGAGCAGGGGTTGTGAGGATTGGAGATGATGTATGTCAAATGTCTAGCTGCATGTCCGCCTTGTAAGCACCCTTGGGAAGGAGCTCTTGCAGAGCTTCCTCCTCTGGTGGTTATCCTCCTTGTCCTCAGCACCATCAGCAGCATCGATGTACAGACTCAAAGGCTGTTGCCAAGGCTGCCTGAGCACTGGTTGCCCTTCCTGGGGCTGGAGCACAGTGGCAACATGTGTCCATGACAGGTCACCCCCAAGCCCCCTGGGTGGCCATGGACGGTGGCCACCCTGAGCTCCCTGGGTGGACAGGGTGACCCCTGCAAACTGCAAAATCCACACCAAAGGCTCCCTTCCCCACATCCCTCCCTGGCATAGATTTGCTGGTCCAGTGTCTCTGAATGGATGAACCTTTGATAGAGCTCAGAGCCCTACACCTGTTTCTTCTCCCTGGAGAGTAGCTCTTGGGCTCCAGCCATGTGGCCTCTGTCTCTCCCCTCCCTAGTTTTGGCAAGTGCCCTGGGGTGGAACTGATAGCTTGGGAGAGTCCAGAGTGAGTGTGCCAGATGAGTTGATGCCATACAGACATCTCTGGAAGCTGTGGTTGGTCACAAGCTTGATGGGGCCCCAGAGCCTGCTGGGGCTGCTAAAGCAGCTGCAGTAAGTAGGGGAGCCTCAGTGAAATGACAGAATGTAGATCAGTCTGCCTCCAGGAGCAGTCCCCAGATTCTGTCAGAGGTACAGGCCTACCTCAGACTTGCTGGGTCAGAGGCTCTGGGACGTGTGGCTAGGGCTCAGTTTGGAGCATATTCCTCGGTTAATTCTGATGCACTCCAAAGCTTGAGCCTGTTGGTAACACAGGGAAACTGAGGCTCAAGGAGCTCACATTCCTTGGCAGGATGTCAGGGCTAATGAGTTCATTTTCTGGTCTGTGAATTAGATGGTCTTAGTAAAGTCCCTTTCAGCTAGACAGTCTGAGGCCATTGGCATTCGTTGGCTTTAGTTACAAGCTGGGAGTAAGGGAATGGGTCAGTCAGTAGGGATGCCATCAAGTGTCCTGCCCTGCCTGATTTGCAGGTGGGTTCCTGAGTCAGGGGCTGAACCCACCCCTGACGATCACCCTGCCAGGTGGCCCAGGGCTTTGCTGGCCAGGAGATGGGTGTCTGCGGGTTCCCTCTGTGGGAGAAGCCCTTCTGCTTTTTCTCTGGAGTCCTCACAGCCACCTCCTTACAGTTCACTAGAGAAAGAATAAGACTGTGAGTCCCAGGACATAATACAATGGCCACCCATGGGGTTTAGGGGTGACCTGCTTCCCAGCTCACACATCCTGCTCTGGGACCTTTCTGAATCCCAGTGTAATAGTGGGACAAGGAAGACCCAGAATTCACCCTCCCCTTTGGGACCTTAGGCTCTGATGGCCAGTGTGGCAGTTTCAGCTGGCAATCCCGAGTTTTCTGTACCAGAGCCATCCTGGGATGGGCAGGCAGCTGAGGACCTGTGGGCTCGGAGGTACTTGGCATGATGGTTCTCCGGCAACTGGAAGACATAAAGAGGCATTCCAGAGACTGAATGAAAGCTGAAACACAGCTCTGCTGCGAAATCCCTCATGGCTCTCAGGGTTGGGAGAGCGGCAAGCACAGAGGTGGCCCCCGTGCATTGCACGTATTCAGGGTTTGATGTGTGGGACACATATCAAAGATGTCATGTTTTGAATCCTCAGTGCCAGGAGGCGGTAGCCGGCACTCTGTCTTAACTCTCTGCTCCCTGGGGGACTCTGCAGGTGCCGGCAGGAGGCAGTGCGTGGAACCATTTACCAGCAGAGGGCAGCTGAGGGGTTAACTCCCCAAATCACAGACGGGGAGCAGAGGAGGCAGACCTGGTTGGAGCAGTTCCCTCAGAGCCTGTTCTGGAGGCTTTCTCTAGTTCATCTGCAGGCTGGGCACTGCTGCCTGCCTTCTCCCAGAATATGGTGACTTAGGAGTTAACAGCAGCTAGAACCGCCCGGACTTGCCCAGCACGAAGCTTTGAACCAATCCCCCCACCTTCAGGGCGCCCAAATGGAAAAAGAAACGTGCAATATGGAGAACAGCTTTGACGATGTTTCTTGCCTCTCTCCGCAGAACCTGGGATCCTCGTCACCAGGCAAAAAGCAGAGCAAGGAAAATACCATAACGGTAAGTGGCTCTCGTGGAATGCTCACAGGTTGGGTGGCAAACTGGGGCGTTTGGCCACGGCTGAGCTGTTGCCATGGCAATGCAGACTGCTGAGTGGTACCCAGCCCGGAATCCAGGAAGTTCCAGAGCTTGGATGTAACGGGAGTTTCCCCCTGCCTCCTACCCCAGTCTGTCTTCTGTTGATTTCACATTTCACTTTTTCTCTCCTGGTGGTGGAGAAGAAGTGTGGCTGGAAGGATGCAGAAGCCATTTTTGCAGGGCAGGCAGGGGTGGGTGAAGGGGGTGGACTGTGCTCCGTGCAAGTGATGTGACATGTAAATTACAGCCACGGCAGGGCTGCTTTTGTGCAGAGTAACTTGTGGAAGATGTCAAAGTTAAAAGCAAGAGAAAGAGCCCTAAGAATAGAGTTCCTGGGAGTTCCTGATAGGAAGCAGGCAGTTTCTGCCTAGAGTGGCCAGACCCGCCTCCCAGGGCTATTCCAGAAGCCCACCAAGCCCCCATGTGGAGGCTGAGGAGAATTCTCCCCAACTCACATCAGCCCTGTGCCTGTGGGTGCTGGACATCCATGGCACCCCCACCCCACCACCACAAGTGGGTGAATGACTTGTCCAGCTGCTCAAATAGCCAAGAACGTGGAGATGTGAGAAGTGCAGTCCTGGGTCTGCACAAGTGCAGCTGAGCTGGGAGTGGGGAGTTGCTCTCTGAGGCTGTCACACACAGTTCTGAGCCATTCTGACCACCCCCACGGAGATGACACTGGGAGTGGGTGTGTTTCCCTGGCTCATGCAGGCTGCAAATCCTGCTTTGGAGGAAAATGGGGGTTAGGCATACAGTGACACCAATAATTGGCTGCCACTTTTGTTTGCTTCTATGATGCACAAGTAGTGTTCCCAGAAGCTCGTTTAATTGTCTCTCACTGTGTGAGGTGTAGGGGTAGGACCAGTGTGGTGGGGTGATTGTGAACTTCAGCTCTGCAGCCAGAGTGTCAGTTACCACACCTACTAGCTGACGCCCTGGGACACGTGCCTGTGCCTCTCTGTATCTCAGCACCCACGTCTATGCAATGGGGAGACGGCGGGTGTCTGTGCCACAGGGAAGTGTGAGAGCTCAGTCCCTATGGGGAAAGCACTTAGACCAGAACCTGGCATGCAGTAAGTGCTCAGTACACTCGTGTTCTCGTCACCTTGCTTACAGATAAGGAAACTGGGGCACAGAGCCATCCCTTTCAAGGTCACACCACTGGGAAGCAGCAGGATCTGAGACCTGGGCTCTTACCACAGGCAGTGCCCCAGGTGGAACTCAGCCCATGGGCAAAGCCCATGTGGCCCTGGGCCGAGGCAGCTTCCTGGTTGCTGGGGCTCATGGGGCTGGGCAGGGCAGGGGAGACTTCCTGAGGCACAGTCCCCATCTTCAGATGGCCACAGAATGCCCCAGAGGGCTGGAGCAAAACAGGAGCTGCTGAAAATTCCTTGACAGGGGAGAAAGTGGGAGGGCCCTGGTGTATTAGAACTGTAGAAGAGAAGGGAAAAGCGGAGCAAGACACCTCCCAGAATTGCCTGAAAGGCCTGTGGGGATGCGGCCCAGCTGCAGTGTAGACATGAGTCCCATGCTGCGCCTAAACTCTGAGCCAGAGCTCCGGTCTTGATCAGAGGGGCTAGGCTTGGCCCCAGGGTCTCCTCATGACACTCCCTGTCCATCCCTGCCTTGCTCCCTTCTCTCCTCCTCCCCGCTGACCTACATCGGTGCTGCTCAGGGACTGGCCTGCCAAGTGTAGTCGGCACTGGAAGCCTCTGGGATACTTGTCTAAAACACAGGGTCTTTGATGGAATCCTAGACCTACAATTGGTCTCTCTGGGGCCCAGCTGGGAAGTTTGCCTTATAACCAACACCCCAGAGGTTTTAAATAAACACCCAAGCCTTGGGGAATTTTTGCTGGGGAAACCGAGGATGGGAGGGACTGGTCGAAGGGTGCAGAGCTGGTGAGGAGCAGAGCCTGGCATTTGAGCTGTGCCCAGGTGGCCCCACGCATCCCCAGGCTGGAGGCAGCTGAAGAGGGATGTGCTACTTTGCCCATAACCCAGCCCCTTCCTCTGGGTTCTGAGCCCCCGGAGCTCAGGGTTTCCCAAGGAGCTGCCGCAGGGCTGCTCAAGGGAAGGGAAGGAAGGACACCCAGAGGGGTGGGGTCCAAGCCAACCTCTCCCTGGCGTGTAGGAGGAGGTGAGCATCTTCACCCTGGCTGATCCCACGGAGTAGAAATTTGCAAGCCTGGCCCTGTCTGGGTCGTGGTGGGGCCGAGGAGCCTGGTATGAGTCAGGGAGGGGTGGACGCATTCAGCGGGGCCAGGGCAGGGCTGCTGTGGAGTGGGCTGCTGGACCAGACGTGACGGGTGCCAGCGACACCTCTCAGCCCTCGGCACAAACGTGATGCATCAGGATCTAAAGGATTCCCAACACCATGCAGCCAAACTCACCTTCTGAAAAGAGGAATTTGGGGGATGCCTGTGGTCTTTGGTCACCGCTTCCTGATGTTGGGGGCCCCAGACCCTGAGTGGGAGCTCGTGGGCTGGAGGTGAGCCCTTGGGGTCATTTCTTTTCTGCCCCCGCAGACCCCAGCTCTTCCCCTTCACCCCCCACTCCGATCAGCCTCCCTCCAGGAGAAAATTCGGGGCCTACTTGGTTGTCAGGCCATCATCTCTTCTGTGCTGCAGTGGCTGTCCAGGTAGATGGGCAAGGAGTTGTGGCCTCTGCCCTCCGGGCTGCCTGTGTGCTGGCCCTGGACTCGGGGTGGGGGGCATTGTGCTCAGGGCCTCTCCACGTCAGGCCCCTTGGGGGGGGTCCCACGGTGTTGAGCGGCTCCTATGCCACAGCCGGCTGCTTTAGTGCAGCTGTAGTCCCCTCAGAGACCTCACAGAAGGTTTCTGGGGATAGCCTGTGGCTCGGGCTGCCTCTGCGCAGGATGGTCCTGGCAGAACCGCACTGCACAGTGAGCGCTGTGGGCCTCGGGGTAGGCTTGTTTCTCCATTTATCTGAGGGGTGGAGTAAACTCTTGGTGTGAGAGCAAAGGTGCTGCTGCCCATGGCCGTGGGGTAGCTCCCGGACCTTTGCCCCAACAGTGCACTTGGCTAGGCTCTCCGTCTCCTGCTCTGTCGAGCACCCTTCCTACCTGAGCCCCTGCTGTGGGTGGGAGAGGGATGGCATATCTACACCTCAGTGCATTGGAAAGGTAGTGTGAGGTAGGTTTAAGAGCCCGACTGCCTAGCTTCAGACCCTGACTCCACCATTATTCACAAGCTGTGTGATCTTGAGTAAGTTGCTGACCTCTCTGTGCCGTAGTTGCCTCGTCTGTAAAATGGGGACAATAATAGCAACCTAAATTACAGGGTTGTTGTGAGGATTAAATGAGGTGATACATATAGAGCATTTAGAACTGGGGCTGGCGTGTTAGGTTTTGGGTCCTCTGTATATGCAGGTGGAGGATGTCGCCAAGGGTCTTGCTGCCCCCAGGAAGCCTTGGGAGGAGGCAAGCTCCGTCCCAGAGCTGGTATTAACTGCCTGGAAAACGTCACCCCAGAGGGGATGGGCATTCACACAGGAAGGTCTCCATGGGGAAAGGCCTCTGGCACCTTCTCTTCCCTCTCTGGGCTTTGGAGCCCTGCTGGATGGAGAATGTGGTCAGCTGGGGGCTGCCTTCCTCTTTCTAGCCTTTCTGATCTGGGGGCACAGGAGGCTTGACTGTGAGGCCTGAGGCCATAGAAGCCCAGGGCAGTGGTAGGAGTGGTGGCCCAGGAAGTGGGAATGTGGCAGTAGACCTCGCTCTGCCATTTTTAGCTGCACCATAGCAGGCAAGGGCCCTGACCCCTTGGTGCCCTGGCTTGCTCATCTGTGCATGAGTTTGCACTGGGTGGTTGCAAATAAACATATGAGCTCTAATTGCTTACTGGACATCAGTCCCCACACACCCCCGCCAGCGCTCACCACCCCCCTCCACTGCATCCGTCTCTCCTGAATCAGGGGTCCCCCACCCCTGATGTGCTTCCTGTCAGTAACTTGGAAACACTACATGGAAACGCTCCTGCCTTCCCAAGCTAGTCCACTCAGACTTTCTCAGTCTCCACACCACTCACTTTTTCAGCCGGCTCCCTCTTTGTCATGGGGCCCTCCTGTGCATTGCTGTATGTTAATGCTCCACCCCGGCCTCTACCCGCCAGGTGCCAGTGGCAACCCCTCCAGCCCCGTTTTGTGACAACCGAAAATGTCTCCACATTGCCAAATGTACCCAGGGGCAGGGATCAGGGAGCAAAATCATCCCTGGTTGACAACCACTGAGTTAACTTCGTGGTGTTCTGGCGTCTGTCTGCAGGGTGCTGTGGTCTGGTTATCCTCTTTGCTATGTTGCTCTGAGTCACCGTCACGGCTCCCAGTCACCGTGGAGCCTGCCCCAATGGCAGGTGGCCGAGGTCAGCATTCTCCTTCCGGGGTGTCATCCCATGCTGCAGCGGGAATACTCACCCCAAGAGCAGCCCAATCATGTCATTCTCTTGCCACAAATTTCCACAGCTCCCACGCCTGCAAGGCCCACTCTGGTCTTGCTCAGTTTTGTCTGCTCCCTGAGTCCCAGCCATGCAGAGCAGCATGTTCCCCAGTGGTGGGGTGCATCCTCAGATGCATCCCCAGGCCCTTTTCCTCCCCCAAACACTCTTCACCTCCCATCAACCCCACCCCTCCTGCTCTGGCCTCCGCAATCCCCCATTAAGACTCCTCCCCTGAGCCCCTGGCCCTGCCTGTAGCCCCAGCCTTGCATGCTCATTCCAGTGGTAGATTCATCCCAAAGTATTACAATTACTTATTTACTCATTTGCCTTCCACATGAGGACAAAAAACCATAGAGGGCAGAAACTCCATCTCTAGCCTCTGGGCATTGCAGCAAGAAGCATTTGCTGAGCACCATTCAGGGGCCTGGGCTGCGCCAGGTGCTAGGAAAAAAGGGTCTTCCTCGTCTCATGGAGCAGACTGTCTTGCAAGGAAGACAGATGCTGAATAAACAATCACAAGGAACATAATCATAAATGTACATGCATGAAGTGCTGGAAAGATCTAGCACAGCACGTGGTACCAAGTAGCCATTCAACAAATGTTTGTGTGGATAGTGGACAAGCAAGTGTTCTACTGAATAGTGTCATGGTCAAGGGCTTGAGCTCTGCTGTAAGCCCAGTCTGGATTCAAATCCTTCACTTCTGTGATCCCTAGTTTCCTCATATGAAATGAAGCCACTGTCACCCAGCTTGTGAGGAGGGATGCAGAGCTCTCGGCAGGGTGCTGGAGAAGGGCTCCCCAGGAATTCCGCGACATTGCAATTCCCTCCCAGGAGGGGGCTGGCAAGGTGCAGTTCTCCAGACGCCCACCAGGGGGCACGGGCTCTGAGGATTTGGGAGATCCCTGGGGGGGAGCTGGGAGTGAGAAATCCCCAAACTAGAGTGGACAAGGGTGGAGACGGGTGCCTCGGGGCACCTGGCCAGTCTGTTCAATGACCAGTGTCCTCATGAAGTGGTCAAAGCAATAAGAGGAACAAGTCCTTATCCTCTCCCACCCACCCCCACACCCAGCTGGCGTCAGTGGTTATTACAGGGCCATGTGTGGGGCCCCTTGCCTTCTAGAACCCTGACAGGCCGCTCCAGAAGACATTTATATCTGTGCCTGAGCACCTTCACCCTGAGTTCCTTTAGCACCCAACTTAATGACATAGTTAATTTATCACTAAAGTTGATTGAAATCTTCATGGACTACATTATTAAGCAAAATAAAGATGGGCTGAAATTTCCATTACTTGTCGAGACAAGAATAACCAGAATGTGACATAAGGACTTTGTGAGACTTTGGAATCCAACCCTCATTTCCATAGTTGCTGCAAGTAAGACCACATGGCAGCCGGTTGCTGAAGCCTGGGGAGGAGATGCACCTCCGGACACACCTTGGGGTATCAGCCTAGATAGAAGGTTTGGGGAGATGATTGCCTGATGCTGGGCACTGAGAGGCTGACCTTCCCTGCCTAGCAGGCTCCTGCAGACCAGAGACACTTTGGAGAGTGGTGCAGCATTGGGAGAAAAACCCTCCCCAACCCCAGGGTCCCTCAGGCTTCTGCCCTTAATTTGGCAGAATACAGTGCCCCCATCTCCAGAGCTCTCTGGGTCATTCCTGCTCCAGTCCTCACTGTGCCACACTTCCCTCCAGAGTGGGGTTCATCGGCCTGACTTCAGCCAGATGTCAGGATCCAGGGGGAGTGGCCTCCTTCCCTTCCCTGCTGGCCTCCCCAGACTGCAATCGAAGCCTGTGCCCCTGGCAGCCTGGGGTCTAGATTACTTCCAGTTGCCCTCAAACCCTCAAGCCAGAGGTCATGGCCAGGGACCTATGGCCTGACTCAGCCGGCAGACGGCTTGGCTTGGCTTACATGGGGTAGCTGTTGACCTTGTTTTTATTATTAACCTTGAGTTATTTGCCAACATTTAAACACTGAGACACCTCATTAATCTTATTTTCAGCTTTTGATTCATCTCATAACCTGACAACTTTGGACTCATTTGGGCTTGACAATACTTGGTGGGAGCTGAGAGGTCTTTGCCTCCTAAACAGACCTCCACCCACCCTCCCCCTCCCCAAAGCAGAGGCCAGTCACCCCCCAACCTCAGCTGCGGTTTCTATGACATTCAGCATCTGCTTGTTTGCGTGGCTTTCAACGTTGGAGTTTGTGGCCTCTGTTCAAACCCTTGGGGGTGTTCACTGTTCTTGCCTTGAACGTTTGACAGGTCCCACTTTAGCAGATGCTGGGCTGTGAGGAGGGGTTAAGGACTGACAGGGCTCAGGCCTTGCTCCCCGATACTCTGCGGCACCCACAAAGAGCACAAATCAATCAGCTGCACAGGAGCAGATCCTGGGCTGGAAGCAACATCAGCAGAAACAGTGGTAAAACCATTTCCAAGGAGCTGGAAAGCTGGGGGCACCATGAACATGCTTGGGCAGAAAAATCTGAGACGCATTCCAGGAATTTCTACACTGCACTCTCCAGCCCTAAGCATGCACCTTGAGGGATCATTTTAAACTCTTTGTTCACAGAGTACATATGAGATAAACTCACAAGGTAACTTCTCAGCCCCTGATCTGCAGTCACAGAATTCCCTTTCTTGGATGCAATATTGCCAGCTTCCAGAAGTATTCTATGCATAACCAAATGTACATATATTGTCTCCTCTTTTTTTTATTAAACACAAATGGTAGCATACTATAAAGACTGGTTTATTATTTCTCCTCCCATAGCATCCCTGGCTCACTTCCCTTAGCAGAACATAAGAACTTCCTTACATCTTCCACCGCGGATACAAGGTCCACATGCTTGTCTCATACTTTAACGTTTTGCCTGCTGTGAACTACAGAGTTGTGTTCCAGTCTTGCTGCTGCCAGCAGTGCCTGGTGAAAAACCAGGTACATGTGTCACTGCACATATCTGCAGGATAGATTCATCGAAGTATAGTCATGAAGTGAAAGGCTCTGGCCATTTGCAGTTTTGATAGATTGTTACACTGCTTTTCAGAGAGTTTGTACCACTTCCAGCCCCTGTGGGGTGGGTGTGAGCATGCCTTGCTGCTCATTTGAAATGCCGGCCACAGGAGCATCCTAAAATCCGAGTGTGTGTTCATTAAGCTCGTCCTACAAGGAGACCTCTTCGGTGCTGTGTCCTGGGAATAGAGCCTTCCTAGCTTCTCCCAACCCTCCAGACAAGTCATTTTCTTGTTCTGTGCCCTACAGATAAACTGCGTGACGTTCCCTCACCCAGACACGATGCCGGAACAGCAGCTGCTGAAACCTACCGAGTGGAGCTATTGTGACTATTTTTGGGTAAGTGGTGCCTCAGTTTCCCCCCCTACTGTGGCGCTGAGAACCAGAAGTGGACATCCAGAAGGGATATGAAGGGTCTTGAGCTCAAAGCAGAGGGGTCTCTCCTGTTGACACCTAGGGCTGGTGGTAGAATTAAGCAGCCGAGGCTGAAGCTTGAGACCCTCTTGGAGTCAGATCATTCCATAAATCTCAGAATCAACAGGTTTTCATTCATGGTATGTGGAAACCTCAGCTGGGATGCAGGTAAGTTGAAGGGGCACTTCCTTTGCTGCTCAGTAAAGGCAAGAGACTAGAACCAACTTCAGTCCTGTGCTGCAGACCTGCTATGCCACTCTTGTGACTGGTGTCCAGGTGACCATGCATAAGTGCTTTGCCTCCTGGGTCTCTCTGTTTCCATCAAAGTCAGGAGGAGGGCAGGTCCAAGTCCCTTTGGGAGCTCCAGCTAAGAGTTCAGTGGTTCCAGAACTTCTGGATATTGTTTAATGCATAAAGAGTTACTGCTTTACAAGTTACAAAATAAAGTCTGAAGGTGGATGGTGCTGATGGTTGCACAACAGTGTGAATGGACTTAATGCCACTAACTGTGCACATAACAGTGATTAAGATGGTAAATTCTATATTAATGTATTTTTCCAAAATTAAATGAATATCTTTCGACAAATGTACAATCTCAGAAACTCTGGGACTAGTCCTGGGTATTTGCCTTTTAAAGTCAGCAGTGACTTTCAAAGTCAGATGGCCTTATCTGTAAACAGGTAATGGTGATGGTTGTACAACCTTGTGAATATATTGAACACCACTGAATTATACTTCAATAGAAAAGAAAAGACTTTTGCAAAGACCCTGAGGAACAATAACAATAATCAAAATAAAAGCTTCTTTTTCACCACTGTACAGAATGAGTTATCTCCCCTTTTTTAGTTTTTCTAACCAGGCACTAGACAAAAATGCTTTTTTTGCCACCAAATCATATGTGCTTTAGAAGATATCCAGTGATTCTTATAGCCCCCTGGTAGGGGCAGTTTCCTATGGGCCCAGCTGTGTTTCTTCTAGATCTTCTGAGATCTGTCCAGAGGCAGCAGACATTATAAAAAGGGATCTTTGGCATCAGACAGCCCTGGGGGTTGAGCCCAGTGGTGAGGGTGATCAGGGGGCACAAGTAGGAGGGTTCAGAGGCCCTGTACACATGTTGGGTTTTGTTCTGTTTGCAGTGGGAAGATGTTGGAGGGTTTAAGCATGATCTAATCTGATTTATTTGCACCATGAGAGAGGACTGTGAGTGTGCAGGGGTGGAAGTTAGCAGGAGACCAAGAAGGATGGTGGCAGCCAGGGAGATGGAGAGAAATAGCTGGGTTTGGAGACCTCATCCCTAAGGAAGGGTGCAGGAAATGGACTCTTAAGGGAGACCAGCTGGAGCGGTGAGTGGGCACCCTGTGAGCCAGAGGCTGGTGTGTGGAGACCCCTGGGTATCAAGGGGCTGGAAGGGTGGGAAGGGCATGTGAACTTGCCGCTGGTCAGTAGCATCCAAGAGATGGACGTGTATAAGTTTTCATCTTAACTCAAGCTCTCCTGGGACTCTGATACTTACTTACTCAAGGGTGTTATCTCCCTGACCGTTGTGGCCTTTCCCTCTAATAGAAATTTCTCTGCTGACATAACCATTAAAGCCCATTTCTTTGGGCTGATTTTCCCAGGTGTGGACAGATTGCTGAGCATATCCATCCTTTTGGGAGGCAGATTAGGGCTCAGTATTTTGTATAATTTTTCTTCTGCTTTTTTTAGCAAGTTATATTAATTGTACACTGAAATGTACAAATGCACAAACCTTTAAATTGGCCAGCACAGCCCCACTATGACACGGTGCACCTAGTGTAGTGGCGGTCTGCTTGTCACCAGAGGTATTACGGTGTGTCTCAGGGCAGCTGAGGAAGGGATCCCAGATTGGGAGGGAGTGGAGAGGTGGCCATAAAACCTTACATCTACGTGTTAGTCAGTAGTGTTCTTTCCAAGTATCACCAACCCCTTTCCATTACCCTCTCTTAAAATTTTTTTGCTCTGGAAGGGATCTTAAGAGTTGCAACCCACTCCCATTTCAAGGGTTGGGGGTGGAGGGACAAAGCCTAGGATTAGAAAGACCTGACTACCTCACCCCATGGCTGAGCTGAGACAAGAGCCTGGGGTCTTTCCAGATCCTGGGGGCAGGCTTCTCATTGATGCACATCTTTGTGATTTCAAAGGATGTATTTTTAGCTCCTTCCATTAAGTATCAAAGCATTTGACTCTGGATTCCTGGTGGGGGAAGGCTGTGCTAGCAGGGTCCAGGCAGCAGACGTGGCAGGGAGAGAGCAGGAAGGAGCTATTTAGGTGTCCTTGGGGAAGTATAGGCAAAACAAAAAACACATTTGTGGATATTTGCCCAAAGAAAACAAAAACACTAGCTTGAAAAGATACATGCACCCCTATATTTATTGCATCATTACATCCAATAGCCAAGCAACCTACATGTCCATTAATAGGTGAGTGAATAAGGAAGGTGTGGTATACTGTTCAATGGAATATTACTCAGCCATAAAAAATAAAGGAAATCTTGCCATTGGTGACAACTTGGATGGACCTAGAGGGTATAATGCTAAGTGAAATAAACCAGGCAGAGAAAGGCAAATACCATATGATTTCACTTATATGTGGAATCTAACAAAATAAATGAGCAAAGAATAGCCCAGAAACAGACTCATGAATACAGAAAACTGGTGGTTGCCAGAGATGGGGGGGAAGTGGGGTGCAAAATAGGTGAAGGAGATTAAGAAGTACAAACTTCCATGAAAGGTACAACACGGGGACTATAGTCAGTAATATTTTAAGAACTTGGCATGGTGACAGATGGTAACTGTTTGTGGTGAGAATTTTGTAATATATATAATTGTACAATCACTATGTTGTATGCCTGGATCTATTATAATATGTCAACTATTCTTCAATTAAAAAATAAAGTAAAATTTAAATTAAAAAATGCATTTCATTTTGAAAATTTAAGGGTATCTGCTTGCAAAATAAATTTGGTACTACGTTTCCCCTTTCATTGACTTGGCCATCTTCCTGAATTCATGACTTATTTAAAACTAATATTAGATACCATTTATTGAGTACTTAGCTATATGCTGAGGGCTATGTTACATCCATTTCCATATGTCATTGATCCCGAAATGGTCATAACGAGGTGGGTAGTTATTTCCCCAGTATCACAGCTGAAGCAGCTCAGGCTTGGAGTGAGTGCAGAACCTGCCTGAGGCCCCCCAGCTGGGATGTCAGTGCAACAGCCTGCCTTTCCACTCTGGCTGCTCTTCAATCCAGTTTCACCCTGGAAGCCAATGTGATCTTTTGTAAATGTGCACTGCAGGATGGCACTGTCAAGCCAAGTGTGAGAGGCCGACGGGAGAAGGGATGGCTTGGGGTTAGGGGTACCTGCCCCCAAGGTCACGGACTGTCCCAGCTTAGTGTCAGAACACCAAAACACCCCGGAGGGTCTGACTAACTTCAGCAGCCATCTGCTTGGGTGTAACAGGCCACTGGGTGTCAGAGCCGGTGCTGCTGGCCACCTGCCCTTCTTCCTCTTCTGTCCCACCTTCGGAGAATTGAGGGCCATGGAGCTGGGGTGGCAGCAGCTGTAAGGGCTTATGCATCAGAAAGCTCATGGGAGCAGGGGCATCAGGAGAGACACCAGCTGGGCAGCCCAGACTGCTGGAACGTTCCTGCCTCGTGGGCTGAGGGGGGTGTTCCCAGGCATCCCAGTCCCTTCTAGGGCTGTCTACCCTATGCTCTGTTCCCCGTGGCTCCAGACCTAAACTCCTGTGCTTGTGTTTCCTTTCTAGGCTGATAAGAAAGACCCCCAAGGCAATGGGACCGTAGCTGGGTTTGAACTGCTCCTTCAGAAGCAACTTAAAGGCAAACAAATGCAGAAGGAAATGTCAGAATTCATCCGGGAAAGGTGAGACCCTGCTCCTCCTGACTCCCAGGACTGGTGAAGGCTCCCACCTTGGCCCCATGGCCCGAGCAAAGGGAGCAGCAGGAATGAGCTTTGCATGCCCAGTACTGGGCCTGATTAGCACCTCGGGGAGCATAAGACCAGAGTCTCAGACTTGTGGTTCTTGGGACAAATCTGACCAGCAGATATATTGTTTTGGCCTGTGTAATGTTTTAAAATATTTGAACCAACATTTTTTTTTTATTTGGTAGATTTTATATCTCTAAGATATCTAGCATCTCTTAAGAAAGCAGAAAGTCTGGCAAGAGTGACTCTGCTTCTCTTTAGCACAATTGGCCAGATCTGAGTACAGCTGTCCCTAAGAGGGAGCCTGTGTCTCCAGTTTGCCACAGTCTCCACCACTCTCTATTGTTCCCCACACAGGCTGCTGGGCTCCTTTACTTACCTGAAATACTCTCCCTTGTCATAATAGAAAAAGAAAATGTTACCTTTCAGTTGATCTTTGAACTAAAACTGCCTCCTAGGCCTGGGCATGCAGAAACCCCCTACCCTCCCATCCCCACCTTCAGGGAGCTCAGTCTAAGGGGAAAGTCAGGTAAGGCCATTAGGATAAGTGTAGGAATTAAAATTGTAATTTGTCTGACAAATGGTTTGCTTGAATAGAGATGAGGAAGCAATAAATTCAACCTGATGGAAATAGGAAAAGCTTCAAAGAAGTTTGTTTTCTGTCTCCCCCTCTGAACAGGGTCTCTCCAAGTTCTGAGACCCTGTTAAACACACACTCAGATACCCACACACCTGCACACATACACCTGCACACACATACACACACCACACACACACATACACACAACTTACTGTCTGGAGTCCCTAGAAACTGCTGGAATGAAATATTAAAGGGTAATATTTTTAAAATAACTTCTTAAATTATAACAACAATAATCCAGTATAATTCCTGGGCATTTTAAAGTACCTCTTTTCCTTAGGAGGCCTATTTTCTATTTTTATAATCAAATTGTTTTATGACCCATTAAACTGTTAGGATTGAGAGATTGCCTAGCTCAGGGGCAAGAAAACAATAGTATAAAACAGGTGAATAGGAAAATGGCCGGAAAGCCAAAATTTGAACACACGTAGGGTTTATACATTCATAAAAATGTCGTGTTGGGAAAGAAATGGAAATCCACCATTTGAGAACACTCTGGTCTTCCTTGATGAATGCAGACCCTGCAACTTTCTCGGGATCGCGTGGGGTAGGCCTTTCAGACCTGGTGGGAGAGAGCAGAGGAGGGGAGGGCACGTGCTGGGAGGGGCAGACGGCCGGTGCTTTGCAGCAGATGGAGGCCATGCTGGCCTGGGTCGGATGCCACGCTCAGGGAGCAGGTAGGCCTCAGGCCTGGTGCCTGTAGTCGTCACTGAGGAACTTTTGCAGGTTTGGAGCTAGGAGTGCGATGGGTTAGATCTGCTGCTGAGGGATGTGTGGGCCACCTGCTGCAGGCTGTCTGTGTCCTCTCCAGGATGGCAGGGCTAAAGGCAGAAAGGAAGATGAGATAGGAGATAGACCTGGAGGACTAGAGATGGCAGAGGCGGCGGCAAGAGAAGGAACAAGATGCTGGGTCTCTCACTGCCAAATTGTGAAGCAGCTGTGCAGCCATGGACTTGGTCGGGCTGCCCTTTGCACATCACTGCACCTGTTGGGTGTCAGTTTCTGAGCAGCCAAGATGCAAATGCTGCAGCCCAGCAGTGTCTCTGGGGCCTTTCCTTTTGCCGAGTGGTGGACCGGGGCCCTGCGGGGCTCCGGCCCTTGTAAGCACAGCCCCTCCTTCTCCCACGTGGCCCAGAGGACTGCTCAGGCAGTGAGCAGTACCCATTTAACGCGATGTGCCAGATAACACAGATCAGTCCCCAGAGAGCTGCCTTGAAAGTGTGTCAAGGGCCTGCCTGCTGGGAATGAAATCCAAGGCAACTTCCCTCTCTGGGGAAGTGGAATCAGCACGGCTCTGGGCATTGCCTGGTTTCCATGGAATCCTTGTGCCACGCAGGCTTGCTGGTTAGGGGGCTGGGAGACTGTAGGGAGAGGCTCTATTCCTGCTTTCAAGGGGCCCATGCCACCTTGGAGGGTCAAAACCCAGAGCTCTGGAGCTTGGAGGGGGAGAGGTGGACAGCACTGGGCATCCCTGTGGCCATCACAAGTCACATCCATTCATCTAAGGGTATCCCATGTGTCCAGTCCCATGGTAGGAGCTGTGTCAGATGGCACTTCATCTTCACAGCCTCGAGGGGTCGGGGCTGGAGGTGGTAGTAACCCATTTGGCAGATAAGGAGATGGAGGTTCAGACAATTTTGTTCACTCATTCTTTCCACACATATTTACAAAGCACCTACTGTGTGTTGGGAGGACAGACGAGAGGCACATACTCTCAGAGCCTATGGGCTAGTGGTTCCCTTACTTGCTTAAGAGGCGGCAGGGCTGCAGGTCTGGCTCTGGACAGCTGACCTGTGGATTTTCTCCCTTTTCAGGATAAAGATTGAAGAAGAATATGCGAAGAACTTAGCTAAGCTCTCTCAGAACTCATTGGCTGCCCAGGAGGAGGGGTGAGTGGAGAGGCTGCTGTTGGGAGTGGGGAGGAGGGACACTCAGGAAGGACACTTCTTGAGGACAAAGAGCAGGTCTCTGGTGTCTCTTCTTACAAGGACATGAATCCTTTTGGATGAGGACCCCACCCCTCTGACCTCATTTAACCTTAATTACTTCCTAAGAGGCCCCATCTCCAAGGTCCCTTTTCTCTGGTCACTGATCAGTCAGATGGGGAAGGCACTGTTTGCCTGGCTCAGGGGTGGCACTTCCACAGTCTTCTCTTTAGTGACCACAGGCCTCCCACTAGATGCTGGAGAAAGTCAGGACTTCCTTTGTCTGGGCCCCGGGTAGCTGGGCACCAGCTCCCAGATGCCCACCCCCAGCTCCTCTTTGTCCGAGGGCAGGCTGGTGGGAAGCTGGGTGTGAGCAGATTCCGCACCTGGCCCTTGTCTAGAATTCTCTCCTGCAGGTCTGAGGCCCAGGTTCTCCTCCCCCTCCAGCTATGACAGTCTAGCCCTCCTTGGGTGGGACCTGGGCTGAGGGAGGCTCAGTGGCCCCTCTCTGCCACAGGAGGGTCTCAGTGGGAGGAAAACTATATAGCTTTCTCTGCTCGTCTGTTAACAGAGTTTCAGCCAGCCACTCCGAGTGCAAAATGATGTTCTCTGGACAGCTGTGTGTCAGTGCCCCCAGACAACTAGACATAGAGTTCCCGTGTGACCCAGTAATTCCACTCCTAGGTTTATACTCCCCAAAATTGAAAGCAGATACCAAACAAATACATGTACATGCGTGTTCATAGCAGCATGATTCACGGTAGCCATAAAGTGGGAAAAGCAGCTAGCTATTGGATAAATAAATTGCGGTATGTCTTTGTTGGACGTAGGGATATACATGATAGAATATTATTCAGCCATTAAAAGGAATGCTACTATGTGGGTGAATCCCCGAAAACATACTACATGAAAGAAACCAGACACCCATTGATAAGAAACATCCAGAATAGGCAAATCCATAGAGACAGAATGAAGATGGGTGGTTGCCAGGGGCTGGGGAAAAAGGGGAAGGGGAATAACTGCTAATGGGTATGGCATTTCCTTTTGGGGTGTGCATTCATCTGCTTGGGCTGCTGAAACAGAATCCCATAGACCAGGGGGCTTAAACATTTAAGTTCTCAGTTCTGGGGCTGGGAGTCCGAGATCAAGGTGCCAGCAGGGTTGGTGTCTTTGAGAGCGCTCCTCTCACACTGCAGGTGGCCTGTCCTTCGTGAGGACAAAGAGCAGGTCTCCGGTGTCTCTTCTTACAAGGGCATGAATCCTTTTGGATGAGGACCCCACCCCTCTGACCTCATTTAACCTTAATTACTTCCTAAGAGGCCCCACCTCCAGATAACAGCCACACTGGGACACTGGGGGTTGGGGCTTCAACATAGGAACTTGGGTGGGGAGGGGGTGCACAAGCATTCAGTCTATAATAGGGTGACTAAAATGTTTTGGAACCAGATAAAGGTGGTGGCTACACAGCATGGTAAATGTACTAAATGTCACTGGATGGTTCTCTTTAATGGTTAATTTATATTATGTGGATTTCACCCCAATAAGAACAAACAAAGACTCAGGAAATTATAGAGCTGAAAGGTCCCCCTCTGTCTAGCCCGAGTTCCTGCTATGAAGGGAAGAGAGCCCCGGAGAAGGAAGACATTCTGTCATGGGTGGTTATGGCTGCGGTTGTCAGAGGGCTGTGATGTTAACCATGTCCAAATCTGCCTGCATGGCCTGACTCCTTCAGGGGACGGGGCTTTGCCAACCAATGTGGCTTTGATTAAGGCCTCCGCATGGGCCCGCTGTGCAGCCAAGAGGCCGCCTCCAAGTGGTTCTCCCTGACCCGGAGAGCCACAGGGCGGCCCTGTAGGGCCAGTGTCTCTTCCACGGGCATAAGTGAGGTTATGTCCGGCCCCCTTCTGCCCCCAAGCCCCAGGCCTGAGACAGGGCAGGAAGGGGACACGTGGGGGAGTCACCCTTCTGGGCCGGGAAGCGGGCTTTCTTCGGCCTCGCCATGCCCTCTAAGTGCCATGCTCCTCCAGGATCTTCCAGCTTCCACCTCCTCCACCTGGACTGCTGCCAAGGACACTCTGTCCTGCCAGGAGGCACAGCATACGCTCCCCGCTGCACAGGTCAGGTCCACCCCACTGCCGTACACACACGAACCCACAGACACGGGCAACTCGACCTGCTCACGTATGTGCATCGGCATTACCCACCTGCCTCGCTGGCATGAACACGCATACCCCATCACCACTGCACGCACACACTAGCCCCATGCCCACCTCCTTCCAGCGGGCACCATTGAGACAGTGGTGGTGAACAACAGGCCCCCTACTCACGACATGCAACAACGCTGTCTTGCGTTGACACACAGTTTTGGACAATAGCCTAGGCTACCTTGAAGCTTTCAGTGTCGGTGCAAGAGCCTAGAAATTTGGGGCAATGCAGGAAGATGGGGGTATTCGAGCTGTGCAAAGTGTCCAAGTTACATTCCAAAGGATCTGTGCACATTGGCAAGCAAACAGGATCCGGCTTTTTATCCTTCCTTTGTCTGTGCTCTTGTGTGGAGAGGAGATGGGATTTTGGCCTTTCCTGGTTGGTAATTGTCAGTGACGTGCATTTGGATTCAACTGTAGACTGGAAGAGAAATGTATCTTAGGTTTTATTTCTTTCATTAACCTCTTATCAGATGAAAAGCCTGTCTCCAAGTGAGATAATTTCTCAGTTGCTTTTTTCTAAATAGTGAAGTGGCCGCAAGGGGCCTGAACTGTCAGGCAGAGGGGAGGTGTGCATGGGGGCTGTACTCGCAGGCAGGCCTGTCTGGGTGTTTGCAGTGACACCCTCCCCCCTGTGAATGCCCAGCATGTAGGTGGGGCCAAGGATGATGCCCTCAGCATGGAGGTATACTGCCTCCTGTCCTCCCAGGAGCCCTCACAGTTGCCACTAGGCCCATTGCTGACCACGCAGTCAAGCTCTCAGTAGACTTACAAACTCTTTGGCACCACCCAGGGCCTTCTGGGCTCTTGGGCTACTGTCTGTACCTCTGGCAGGTTCCTGTGTAGCTCAGCTGCAGGGAAAGACGTCTTTCTGTCACCTTTACTCAAGTGCCCACTCCTTCTAGGACTGCTTCTGTAAGCTTCTGTATAGTGTCAGCTTTCACTTTGGTCCTGTGATCCGTCTTAGATCATCTGTGTGTATGGCTGAGGTCAGGCTCAAGATCCTTAATTCCCCACGGATATCCATTTGTCTCCGTGCCATTTGTTGAAAAGAACTTCCATTCCCTGTTGAGATACTGGCACCTTTGCTGTGCATCAGTCTCCTGTATCTGTGTGCGTCTGTTTCTGGACCTGGTACTCTTGTTCCTCTATCTGACCACCCCAATGGCTTCCACCCCTCCTTTCCCCACCCCAGACCTCCAGAGTTGTCCTAGAACAGCTTCCAGGGGCTCAGGCCCTGCCGGCCAGGACAGACGTCAACAGCTTGGACTGGCCTGCTTCTTACTCCATTTCTTCCCTGGTGGGCTCCCCAACCAGGATCACCCGAGGGGACCTCTCTCTGCGGCTGGATTGCTAGATAAAATCAGTCAGTCATTTCCCATAAACACCCACCTCAGCCTGAGCCAGCACTGCAACCAGCCAGGCCTGGACTGGGATCAGAGGGATCCAATCTGTTCTGTGGGGCAATTCTCAGCTGCCTGCTGCTCCGCTCGAAACCCAGAAGCCTTGTAGCATGCTGTCATTTAATCAGCTTTTGCCACTCAAGTTAAATGAATTCTCTGGGGGGAAGTGGCCTTCTGATGAAATTAAGTCAGCTGAGCATTCGGCTGGGTTTACTGGCTGAGTGGAGAGGTCTCGAGCGTGGATGCAGGGATATTGGGAAGGCCAGCAAGGTTTCAAGAGTGCCAAATAATGGAGGTTGTAGCATAGGGGCCTGCACTGAGAAGTCTCGGCGACTTCAGGAGATTGCTTCTATTTGAAACCTGTCCTTGGCATGGAAAAGTGATTTATTTTTCTAAGTAATGGCTTAGAGGACTCTGCTGTTCCCCTGTAAGGTCAGCACCAGGCTCACAATCCAGCAGCAGCGAAGAGCCGTGCTCTGAGGATGGCGATGGGGAGCCTTCTGTGCTCAGGTCCCTAGACCCAGGTGGTCCATCTTCTTCCCTCTTCGTAGTCAGGCCGCGGAAGGGTTGACCTGCAAACAGGGCTGTGTGGGACCTTCCTTTTGAAAAGGGTTTCTTCCTGAAAAGGCACCTGTTCTGTCCTTCCTTGATTTACCAGCAGGCATTTGCACCCCTCATCAGCAAGCTGGGGCAGGACAGCGGGAAGGCATGGGGACAGTAACAGGCCAGGGATCAAGCCCCTCCCTGTGGCTGCACCCCGCCTTCCTCTCGCATCTCCCCAGTTCTCTGGGTTTCCAGATATTTCCCCAGACTGCCTGCTACGGTCTGTTCCCTCAGCCCCAGAGGGCCTCAGCTCAGTTTGGGATATGTTGAAATATGCTACTCTACGTTGGTGTTGTGCCTGGCCTCAGCCTCAGCCACGTACACAACCTCGGGTGTTACATGCTTCCCCAAGACTCAGGGTGGAGACCCCCATCCTGCCTCAGGGAGGTCTGTGGCCCCTGACCCGAGACTGGGGTGGCTTTCTGCGGGCCTGACAGTCTCCTTGTGTTGCAGCTCCCTCGGAGAAGCATGGGCCCAGGTGAAGAAGAGCCTTGCAGATGAGTCAGAAGTCCACCTCAAGTTCTCTGCCAAGGTAACCCCTCCCTGCGCCCCTCTAGGTTGGTCTCACAGGGCGGTGCTGCCAGACTTCTGACAACCATCTCTGCAGTCTCTATCATTGGCCAATTTCCCTGGTGTAAATTTCAAGCGTCTGGAAAGACCTACCCAAAAGTGGTAGTGCTCCCACCATACGGAACACCAGTCCCCATAAATACCCATCAAGAGCATTGATGATAGTAAAACATAGTTAGGAAGTGATAAGTGCCGAGTATTCATGATCTTTGTGTTTAATGGAATTTGTTCATTTTAAGTTTAGATCATAACATTTTTAATACTGGCCATCTCTAATAACCAGCTCACAAACTTCCTACAAATTTAACATCTGGCTGTGGTGAGCCAGTGTGGTCTGCCTCAGCAGAGCTCTCTTGGGGGGTGGGTGGACAGCCCTCAGCTCCTCAGGTGAGCCCTGGAGTGGTGACGCTCCCTCTAGCCTTGTGGGGTTTTCAAAGGAACATACTGGCATTTTCTCCTCCTTGGTGTCAGGAGAGATTGACTAGGCCAATGGGAGAATGTTTTGGTTTTGTTCTGTTTGCTCTTACACAGTTTCAGACTACACACCTGACCCTTCTTTCATTTGTATCTAAAGACTGTAGCACCTTGATCTTGAGGACGTGATGTTTCTATCCTGTCCACTCTCCCTGGGTCCTCAGGGTGCTGGCTAGCACGCAGTAGATCCTCAGTAAATATTTCCTGAAGTAATGAAGAGTGGGGCCCTCTGACTAGCTCCTCCTGACCCTGCTGCCTCACCACCCCATCTTTTCAGGCCTACTTTCTCTCAGGATTTCTCCATGTTTACAAAGGACCCTCTGTTCGCCACTCGCTGGCTCATAACCTCCAAATTCCATCTGTCTCTCAGCTACTTTTCAGAGGAAAAATAAACGAGGGGTCTAAGTGAATTCATGCTACAGTGTGCATGACTGGCAGGGTGATTCACTGGCATGCTTGCTTTTTAAAGGAACAGACCCTTGAGAGGGGCACCATTCCCAGTGACCTTGGCCTCCTGGAGTCCATGCTCTTCCCTCTGCCCTCTCGCCACAGTCAGGCACAGCAGCCCAGGAAGGCACTTAGACAAAGTGCTTAAACTCTCTGAGCCCATTTTTAAATTGGAGGGGTGGGGGCACACTACCTCCTTTACCCCTTGAAGGTGGCCACCCCCAAAGATGGCTGCCCCTTCCCGGGACTTCCTCGCTCAGGATTCATGGGTCCACTCTCTTTCCTAGTGCTTTCCCTACAGCGATTGCAGTTCTGGGCTTTGGGGTTGCCATGGGACGTGCACTGGGTGAGGACAGGAACCTGGCTGTGTACCCAGGTCCCCCCACCCCACCCCAGGATGGTTCTCTGCACACAGAGGGTAGGGTGAATGACTCAGGTGGCTGAGACGCACGAAGGAGCTTTCGAAAGAGCTGGGGTAGGAGGGAAAACAGGGCTGTTATGAGCTTCCAACTTCTAAAGTGCTCTGAGAGTGGGGGACACCCAGATGTGTGAGACCCAGAGAATTCCTGGGCTAACAGTGGCTCACTAACCTCATGCACAAAACACTTCATAAGAAAATTGTCACTCAAGCACTAGGAGAGAAGGGAGCTTCTCTTGTGCCTTGCATACAAAGCAGGGGGTTATTTTTAAACTGTAGCTCCTGGGTAGTGTTCCCTCCAGTCTCCCTCCTCCCATCCTAGCCCCTAGCAGCTTCTTTCTGTGTGGTGGCAGAAACTTCATTGACTGGTGGGAAGGCCGGGAAACTGCCTTTGTGATGGGGCGGGGTGGGAGCCAGATCTGCAAGCCTCTGAAAGACCACTGCTGGGTCCCCAGGAATCCTGGTGGCATTTACTCCCATCAGTGGAACCCCGATTCTTGACTGTTTACAGAGTACTCAAAAGCTGACGGAATGTTCTCCTGTGTCTTTTTAGTACTACTACTAACACCAGTAATTCTAGCCACCAGATGTGGGGGGTTTTCCCACATGGACTGATTCTCTGACACCAGCTGGGTGTCCTGCAGTTCAACTCAGTTCTGACACTAAGCGCCTACATCTATCTGATCACGCAGGTTACAGGCTCGATCCCACAAGACTGCCCCCACTTCAGAGGCCAGTTACAAGTAGTAGGTCCCCAGGTTACCCACACTTCTGTCTGACTTGGCTACAAATAAGGGGTTCCCACACGGCCTCCTGAGGTTTAATGATTTGCTAAAATAGCTCATAGAACTCAGGGAAACACATACTTAGGTTTACAGGTTCATTCTATATTAAAGGATCTAATAAAGGACACAGGTGAACTGCCAGATGCAGAGGTATGTAACGTGAGGTCCAGAACTGTCTTGAGCATAGGCGCTTCTGTCCCTGTGGAATTAGGGTGGGACACCACCCTCCTGGTACCTGGATGTGGTCACAAACCTGGAGGCTCTCTGAACCCCCTGGTTTAGGGATTTTTTATGGCGTCTTCATCATATCAGCATGATTGATCATTATTAACTCCATCTCCAGGCCCTCCCCCTTCCCCAGAGGTTGGGGTGGAGGGGTGGGGCTGAAAGTCATGAGCTTCTAATCATGGTCTAGACTTTCTGGTGACCAGCCCCCATCCTGAAACTATGCCGGCATCCACCAAGAGTTGCCTTGTTAGAAGAGGCTCCTGTCACCCAGGAAATGCCAAGGGATTTAGGAACTCTGTGTCAGGAACCAGAGCCAAAGACCGAATATTGTAACAGAGGTCCTCCTAGCCTCCCTGTCACTTAGGAAATTACAGAGGTTTTAGGCTCTCTGGCCAGGAGCCAGGGACAAAGACCAGAACACACATTGTTCACTGTGTCACAGTGATGTAAGTGTTCTAAATGGTTGTGCACGGGCTGTAGCTCCTTCCCCTTTGGTTTATCAGCCACCATGCAAGACAGCATCTCCATCTCACAAATGAGCAGAGGCAGAGAAGGTATAGTGCAGCCCCCGGTCACACAGCCAGGAGGGCTCAGCTGCCGAGGAAGCAGAGGAGAGGGCTGAGCGAGTTGGAGGCCTGACCCCCAGACCTTTCTTTGGGCACCAGTGGCATTGGAAGCCCAGAGCTCCATTAGGAGGAGCCCTCTGCCCTCTGTTAGGGGCTGTCCAGGGTCGTGCAGGCTGGCCCTCCAGATGCTCAGGATGTTCTAAGCGAGGTGTTTAGGAAGCAGGGCTGACTTCACCATTCAGCTGGTGGGAGGCCTAAGAAGAACCTTCACACAAAACACATTTTTCCAGAACTTCTGTCTCCAGCCTGTCAGTCAGTGTTGGTGGCCTCAGGCAGTTGTAATGGCTGCCCAGTGGTGGTGTGGCTAGTCCTTGAAAGGAAAGGGGCTCCAAAGATTTATTCATCTGCCATGGATAATAATGGCTTCATATGCACAAAACCCACTTTACTGTCTGCTTCAAAAGGCCCACTGAAATTCCTCTCTGAATGTTCTGTGTCGGGCGTAAGAGCTCTTTAAGAAATGCAATTTTGTTATGGCAGTCTTTCAGGCTTTGCTAGTCTACTAGCTCAAGCCATTGTTAATATCCACAGGCTGCCTAAGAAATAAGATTGCTCTGTACAAAGGAAGTTATACCTGGCTCCAGCCGAGGAAGGGAAAATAGAAAAATTTCTTCTGATGGGAGAAAATCTAATCATGCCATAGAAGTGACGCATTCAGTGAGAAGATTTTAGGGGGACAGTGGGAGTCAGGAGACATGAGTTTTATGTTAGTGTTATCACTAACAAGCTGTGTGACCTTGGGCAAGTCACTTAGCATCTCTGGGCTTACAAAGAGTTTGGACCAGATCAGCAACTTGCAACATACTTGACTGACCCACAGTAGTATGTTTTACAGGGCCATGCCAAACACACAGATATCCACATACAGATAGGCACATAGATAGCCAGAACAAATGTTTCACAGAATAGGACTTGTCCTCCCACCTAAAATGCGCTTGGATATTTTCCATGCATGTCTGGTTTATTCTCACCAAAAAGCTGGTCCTGACCCACTCAATTAATTTCACAAGTCTTGGCAACCTACCCTTTGAAAAACCCTAACCAGACAGTCTGTGAAATCCCTTCCAACCGGAGATTTCCCTTATTCCCTGCTGATGTGTGAGATGCAGCAGCAGAGGCCAGGAGCACTGGAGTTTGAAAAGGCAGATTGAATGGCCCCCATCGCCTGGCCTGTCTAAGCCAGATTGGCTCAAGGGTCTGCAAGGACTAACTTCCAGGAAGGCCTTCTGCCTCCTGTTAAATGAAGATGTGTACGGGTTAAGAATGAGTGTTTAAAAAAAACCCAGCCAATTTCTTAAAGAAAAAAATTAGTCTTTTTAAAGTACTTATAGAAGGAGAATCCATGGGTCTTCATCTCTGGGATTGACTGACCTCGGACAGCTGATAGATAGCCTTGTGTTTCTGGAACATCATTTGCAATTTAGGGAAACACTGGTATCTTGGCAGGTGTGTGGGCCCTTCCTCAGACCACAGACCTGGAGCTGAGGCCCAGGAATTCCGAATGTTGCAAAGCCCCTCCAAGCACAGCTGCTCCCGGGAACCTTAAAGTCTGGAGATCACCTTGCTTTCTAGGCCCTCAGAAAGAGACCCCGGAGTAAATGAGTCAACAGGCTGTTAGACCTCCTGGGCCCCACTCAGAAGCAAGTTCCCGCAGTAGCAAAATGATGCCGCAGCCCATTCTCCTTAGCAAACACCTAGGTTGTGCGGAGAGGGGTTTACGTGTTCTCCGCGGCTTGCGAGTTTGTAGCATCTCAAGGCTGCCACCAGATGGCGGTGTTTGCCCAGACAAGGAGCCTTCTAGGGGCTCGAAAAGTAATAGGAGTCATTTACAACTAATACCAGTGGTAGACGGGCATCTGGGAGGTGACTGGTCTTTGAAGGTCATCCAGCAAGTCTGTGCCTTGTCACCAGGCATTGGGCACTGAGGGTTCTGTTACTCTTCCCATTGGGGAAGGGGTGCTTGCCCCACGCCAGCTCTGGCTGG